CCCCAGATCGCGCTGGAAGACGTCCACTCTGCGTGGAGTAATTGAAAACTAGAACATCAAATGGCTCGTCCGGGGGGGAGGGGGAGTGGGCGAGAGATAGTTGTTAATGCTTAACGTGTTTGTGCCGGTTACAAGACCGCTTTGAAATCCGCCCGGGCAGATCTGCAAGTTATTTGAATGTATTATTCCAGTACCTGTCATTTATCACTTTATTCAACACGTCTTTGCCAACTCAATAGCTTTTGATCTCATTCTGCCTCCATTTCGTAATTTCCGCCCTCTTAAACATATCAAATACTTACTTTAAAAAACAAAAAAAAGTGAACACTATCGAAACCCACCGAAAGAAATTCACCCAGTCCGACCCAGGCAGACACGAAGGTAAATTTTCAAAAGGCAAAAAAATTAAAGAATGTGATGTTCACGCGGCAATGGAAAGAAAGCGATCTCTCTCTCTCTCTCTCTCTCTCTCTCTCTCTCTCTCTCTCTCTGTCTCTAACACACACAGATCTTGAACAAAACCCTTTTCGAACAAGTTATTTGATCTTGACTAAAATCAGCAGTTGGATCCTCTTTGTAAAGCTGACAGCCAAACTCTGACAATGGCAAAATACTCGAGCCCCAGCTAGTGGCGCTACCCCTTTAAAAAAGGAGTCGATCCTGCTCGCCTGCAGAAGTGAATACAGTATTTTCAAGCTTGCCCTGTAATAAGCATTACTGGGGGGGTAATAAAGAAAGAAGAGAGGGAGAGATAGGTTTACCACCTCGCCATGGTCGCTATTTCTGCCCTGGGGAGTGTCTTCAGGGAGGAAATAAAGTTTAGAGCTGGATAAAAGTTGCCGGCTGGTCCTTTCTTCCCACAACAGCTGGAGCTCCGCTATGCAAATCGGATCCTTTGGCGTACATCTTACAAAGAAAAAGTCGCCAAGGGACAAAATTCTTGGTTTGCCTTCAAGGTGGAATTGAAAAGCCTTGTAGAAAATGTAAGGTCCGTGCAAGCCACACGGTGAGCCGACCCACTGCAGGGGGGAAAAAAAGCACCAAATAAATAATGTAGCCATCAGAACACAAACATCTATTCCCAGACACATTTACACACAGACATCCACTCTTAATACAGACGAGCCCACAGATAGATCGCTGGGTGAAAAATCTTAGATCCCACAAATTTTCTGCCTCCCTTAAAAAAAAAAAAAAAAAAAACACCTTCAGTCCCGTCCCCCTCCCCACCGTCCCTACCTCCCCGTCTGAGGCAGTAAAATTACATTATGTATGTATGGTCAGTGCGGAGATTTTTTTAAACAATAAAAATGATTTTGGGGGGATGCAGAGGGTAAAAGTTTGGTGAAAAGTTTGTGGGGGGTGTGGGTGGGTGCAGAGATGTGGGTGAGCTGGGGGGCTGGGGGGGGCCGGGGGGGCCAGGATCGGAGAAGCGGAGGAGAGCGAAATACCTGGAGTGAGTTGGGCTCCATCTCGACGTTCTGAATTGATTGAACTCAACATTCTCTCCAAACTTGTTGGCTTGAATGGATTGCATCAGGTCCTGGCAGGGAAAAACATTCTGTGCTTTCAGCCGGCGTAATGTCTCAATATAAAACTGAGCTCTTGCCTCCCCTTCGGCACCAAAATGATTGAAAATATGACCTAATATTTCTCTGACGACTCAATTTTCAGCCGCTGCCACAACTACGCGGGTTTCCTTCCAAACACGGGTTGATCAAATTCATAATCGGGAGAAAGGCTTCTGATCTCGGCGGGAAGCGAACAGATCAAGGCATAAAACCGATAGGAAGATTTGAAAAAATAAAATCCACCCTAAAATTGTGTGGAAAGGTGCTCTTTCTCTTTCTGAATGCCCCTGTGTAAGAGTATCATCTGATGAGATTTTTGGAGGAGACGAGGACTGGAGAGCTCCTCTGTGTATCTGACAGGACCTACTTGTATATGTCTAATATAAAGAACATTTCCTGCAGAGATTCCGGGGCGCTGCTCCTCTTTCTAATGCTCCTTAGCAGATTTGCTGTTATTAGACATGTAGATTTGTTTGATAGTTAAATTACGCTTCCTCACTGCCATGTTTTCGAGAAGTAATCTGTTAAATTATCTTTTGATGCCTATTTACATGGGAGGGAAAAGTGGGTTATCGATTATATAAACATATAAATATTAATGCATTTGTTCGTTTCGCAAAAAAAATACTCAGCAAAAAAAAAAAAGAAGAAGGAGAAGAAGAACAGAAAGACAAGTGAGCAGTGCACACACATCTCGGGATTTTGCAAACAATATTGAACGGACAGCGACTGCATTTAGGGACTGGAACAATAAACGATGCATGATAAATCAATAAATGCGAGCAGCGAGTCTGCTCGGAATATGAATTCAGGTCCCGGTTCTGCGTGTGCATTCTTTAATTTTGAAGTATGTACACTAGTACGTGTTTACAATGCTGATGGACGCCAAGGGCGCTCTCAAATGATAATGTGTTTATATAACCCAGCGCTACAGGAATAATATACCGACTCCTACCCCACCCCCACCTCCTCCCCCGCCAAAAAAGGGAGGGGAGCTTCCTCAATATTAGTTTGAAACTGAAAAAAAAAAAAAATCCATTTGCAAACTAGTTAAATACAGCCAGAAATTAAGCTGTTGAAAACCGGGGGCATGAACCGTAAGACAATAAAGGCTTTAAATGTGTATATTTATTGTTCTGGAGCCCTGGAGCATTGCGAGGTTTGCATGCACGGCTATTATGCAAACACAGAGAAACTTAAGAGCGACAGAACAAGGAACAGGCACAGACTGCAAAGCCCTAGCTCGCTCGCTCCGACCCAGCTGCCGGTCCTCCGCCAAGCTAGATTGCATTTTCGCAGTGTTGATGTAAAATGGTGTACTCGCTTCCCCCACGTTCCCCCACCCCTTCCCCGCTCTCCTCCTACTCCCACTCTTCCAGCACCCACACCCCACCTCCCGCGCGATTTTATTATATTGGCACCAATCTTTCCAAAGTGGGTCTGGCATGCTAAAAAAGTAAACATGTACTATATGGGGAATAAGGTCTGTATACTATGACAGTTGAAACTTGATCGGTGATAAAATTACAGGATGTTGAAATTACTAGTAAGCTATTTTTAACGCTTTCGCAACGTTTCACCTCTAGTCACAGCATCTAGTTGAAACAGGATTACTTTAATGAAAATTATATTCACATGGCTGAAGTTAATACACCCGGCAGAGCACAAATGCCTCATATTCAGTGACTTGAGGTGGAAAGACCCTCTGTGTGTATTTTTATGCCTTTTCATAAGGTCTGCGTCCGCTGCAGTAAGAATTAGGGCACTTAACATTATCTAAACCACATTTTTGATTCAGAACATGGGGAAGTAATAAAAGGCGAGATCTGTCTCGTTTCTGTACACACACAGATAAACGAAAGAAAATGGCAGATCCTCCAATTACAATAAGTAATAAATGCCCATGTCAAAGAGCTGGTATTCTGAAAGCTGTGGAAAACTAGTTTAATAATTTAAAGTAATATCACAACTCTGCACCATGGAGGACAACAATGTAACAATTCACAGTCTCCTATCTTTTGCATTAGCTAAATTATGACTTGCACATCACTCTTTAATTATCTTCCTTGAAATTTCATCTGATCTTCCTATTTTATAAACATGGGCTACAAAGAGAAATTACAGCTCTTCTGCTCTGACTAACTTTATGTGTGATGCATACTGCAGACAGTTGATTAGGATTACCCATTTTGTTCATTTTTAACATATGAATGGACTTGACGGAAGGGCATTTTACATATTTTTTTTAAATAACATGAAATACTCCTCAGGCTTCTGTTAGACCCTGTCCTGTTAGCATAAATATATACATCCAGTTTAAGAAATCCTATATTAAAAATCTTGAGTTGCAGTATTTTGACAAGATCTTATTTGAGATGGACTCTGAGTCAGTTTCCTGTATGACCGATGCAGCAGCATTTATGCAGGAAACCTCAACAGAATGCCTGAGGGTATCCCTCGATTGTGTATTAAGTCTCTCTCTTAAAAAATACACAGCTCTTTACAGCATCTAAGCAACTTCTGCTGTCTTTGGTGCTGTAAGTCTTTAAGTGTCTGTAACCAGCTTCATCTAATTACAAATCCTGTTTCTATGTCTCTTCAAGGTAGGGGACTCACTAGGCTGCATGCTCCAGATCTCTCCAATAAGATCTTTGAGATGTTAACAATCACAGAGACCTAAGTTTGAGTGATTTTTGAATATCTACATTCTTACAATTGGATGAAGGCTAAATTTCAAGATTGAATCACAGGGGCCACTTTTCCCTCTTTTTATAGCACCACTCCCACGAACATAATAAATCTAATAAATCAAACCTTGCTTCAATACTGTGAATGGCTTTAAAAAAATCACAGATCACAATAATGGTACCCCCCTAAAAAATGCTCTATTTTACCTCTTCTTTAATGTGACGCTTGATAGGCACCTGTAAATTATCTGTGTAGCAAATATCCATACAAAGAAAGTTTCAATTAAGATAAGGAGATTGTATTGAAACAGTTCTTTGAAGTAATGTAGTTAATAGCCTGTTTGATTTCTGCTTGTGAGAGAGTAATAAGGTGGATTCAAGGCTCCATCAATCACAGAGCAGATGTAAGACTTGAGACACCGACACCCAGGGGAATAGAGGCAAACTCCTGCAGTGCAGGGTCCCCGGGCTAATGTAAAGTAAATACTCATAAACAGATTGAATGTTGTAAGAAGACAATCCATTCAGGACAGTTATAATCATGAAAGCAACTGCTTTATCTATCTGTAAAAAAGCTTGTAGCTGGGACTCGCTGTGTATAAAAGAGGTGGTGGTGGGGGAAGCAGTGTACATTTATACGTTCTACTATTTCTGGGCTTTTTGTGTTACTGAGACACAGAAACCTATGCTTACACGTCTACACTCCTGCTGCTTTATTAGCCCCCAAATTCGACTCTCTGTTTTAAGTTATTTGATATATTTAAAAAGTAAAAGATTAAAAAATCCCTCTCTCCCCTCAAGGGAGTGTGTGTGTGTGGGGGGGTGCAGAGACACATCATGCAGTCTGTGAATCATTTCATAAAGGATCAGGAGGATTAAGTTAGTTGCAAAAACCAGCAGTGACATAATTAGGTAGCTTGGGCTATAATAAACAGGATCATGAAAAAAAAGTACAGTTTGAAAAAAGAAGGGAACCATTTTGAAAATGCAGATATCTGTGCAGACCCCTGCCCCCCCCACAAATTGCAAAAGAAAACTGAAGCATTTTTGACCTTGGCTACAATAATATTTCATGTTTTAGTACTTTAGTCAGCATTTTATCTACTAATTGCTACACACTACCGCATGTGGCTCGAATCTGCCAGTGCAGCTTTCTTTTTCATGGTGAGGAATTGGTTGATAAAGACTGGGAATTCCTCCTGGCGGCTTCCTTTCTTGCTCCCCCTTGTTTCTTGCTTCTTCCAGCTAGAAGTCGCTAATTTTTCCAGAAAATCTCTCCCCCCAACAGAACAGGGACGGTGAAAGGTTCCCTCCTGCCCTTCTACATGTTAAGCGTCTGGCCACTTGCAGGGGGAGGCAACGGGGAGTGAGTGGGGCTAAGCCGGAGGGGCTCGTGGATCCTGGCCTGTGGGGGGACCTGATGCGAGTGCTTTCGGACACTGGACCCTGGCTAGTCCGTCGCTAGGAGGAAGTCCAAGGAGCATTGCACTTCTCAGCTGGGGACCTTGAGTTGGGGACGCTACCCCTCTTACTTGGTCAAGAGGCAGGTTTAAGGTGGTAGCTCTACCATGTACGGATTGATTCGTGGAATAACAAGCAAGCACCGTCTAAGGAGCAGCCACTGCCTAATGCTATCCCCTTCCAAGCCCGGCGCCATCATGAGCGGTGAAGTGACATATTAATAAGGCGGCCTGCACCAGAGCTGGCTGTCCAAGCCAGCGCAACAAGGCTATTGGTTTGAAGTAGGACAAACCCGGTTATACGGGTCATTGCTTTTAAGAGACATCTAGTGGTCAAAGGTTGAGCTACATCTTAAATTTGGGGCACCTATTTGAGGCCAGTCTGCGGGGCTGTCCTGGGGGTGGGACTCTAGCTCACGTCCGGGCATTGAAGGCTGATAGCTTCAGAAGGACTGAATGAGGACAATTTCTCATGGATTTGGAGCCAGGCCCAAGAGTGATGAGGGAAACTTGGAGAAAGGGATCTCCCGGGAAAGGGTCATGTGATGCCCTTGTGGGCACCGGAAGTCTCAAGTTCCCCTGCCCTCAGTACAAATGGAAACTTTTATCTTATCTTGATTTTCCTCTCCGGTCTGAGATTAACCAAGTATTTTCAGGCAAGTGAGGTTATGTTTGCCCAAGTCATTTTCAGCTAAAACAGAAATGGTGAGTCTATTTATTTTTTTCTATTTGTAAATGAAAGCTAAATCTTGCTCCTTCACCCAGTCACAAACACACCCAGACATCCCTTAATTTTAGCAGTCCATTGCCTTTAAATGCTCTT